CGGGACTGCTTGTGCTTTAAAAATCGTCGCACAAAAGATTTTGTGATGAATGTAAATTTCGTGAAGCAATGAAGTTAAAGTCCATTTAGCATGTCTCATAAGCACCGAAGCACCGATTCGGCGGTTTGCCGTCAGCAGTACAAATAGGATACCCGGCAGGGCGCTTGAGGCGCGAAGACTTTAGCTTACCCAGATGCCATAAGAAAAGGGCTGGGTGCCAGAGTGACGCGTCAAAATCAAAGCTTCTGTATAATGACTCAGCATTCTCGAGTACGTTGCGGGGAACTTCCCTGGGTCGCTTTAAAAGTCAAGCGTGTTTTTTCCCGCCCCCATCAAATCGCTTAAAAGGAACCTCTTTCGCCGGAACAACGCTCTCTCTCCCCGCATTGCCTGACTGAATGGGTCACCAAATGATCGACAGCTGCGGCCTCTGTTCATGAATGTCACACATTGCCGCACACATATCCAAATAATTCCAATTGCACAGGTCAACGGTGGATTGAACCATGACTGAAGCGGATAAAAACGAGCTATTGACGCCTGCGGCAGCCCCCTTTCCCCAGCAAGGTAACCACGAAGGCCCTTCCTCGTATTCTTCCTCATCCAACTCTACCGAGGCCGTGAAGCTACCGTGCAGCCCCTCACCACGCGTTGTACATTCTCTACATCGAGAACATGTGGCTCGCGCGGTTTTACATCGACAATACGCCGGGAGAACATCGACCTCTTTGCCTCCGTCCCTCCCGTCCTCCTCTTTTCCGTCCCGATTTTACCCCCTCCCGCCAAGCCTCTTGCACGCCGATGACCCTTTCCACTACCTTCGACTTAACTACACTTCGCATAAACATGCCGGGCGCATGGACTACAATTACACCTTGCCAGGCGAAGAGCCCATGCTTGCCCTCGTCTCCTCTTTAACCTCCTCCCTAACCGTGTGGCGTCATCCCCTCACCGACGCGCGTCCCTCCAAAGTCTTCACCGCCCCGGCACTCCACTCCGCCCCGACGACCACTATCAAATGGTCCTCTCTCCCGCATTCTCCCCACGAGATCTACTCTGCCGCCGAAGATGGGACCGTCAAAGTCTTCCACACAGGAGCTCAGCGCGTCCTTGCCGACCTGGTTCTCCCTCCCGACCTCCCTCCCCCCCTCGCCCTCACCCCCATCGACGCCGTGGGCACCCTGGCCGTGGGTGTCGGGGGCCAGATCGTCCTCTGGGACCGCCGGAGCGGGCGGGACACGGCCGGGGGGGGACAGGGGCCGACGGGCCGGCATCATCCAGGCGGTGTCTCAGAGTTGGTCTCCCTGAGCGGGGGGGGGGAAAGCGGCTTGCTGGTGAGCGGCGGACTGGAAGGGGCGGTGCGGGTGTGGGACTTGAGGCGGGGCGTGGAGAGTGTCGAGGCACGGGGTTGCCTGACGCAATTTTCTGTGCCGGCGGAGGAAGGGGGTGTGGCCTCCCTGCAAGCACACACGGGCCAGACAGGGCTCTTGGTGGGGACCGAAGGCAGCTGTTTGTACGACCTTAACTTGGCGGCGGTCGCACCATTTTCCCGCCCTTCTTGGAGGCTGAGACCGCCGTCACCCTCGTCCTCAGCTTCCTTGGTGCGGCATGTCTATCGAGGCGGCGGGCTGAACCGTTACAATTTGAAACGGAGCCAACGATCGGAGGACGGCCGTTACTTCTTGCGGGGCAACGAT